CGTGATTTCTGTATTAATAACTGTATCTTTCTTCAGACAGATAAAGAACAGTGTACTCATTTTCAGCAGTTGTTTGGCGTACTGAAAATCATGGGTTACAACTGGACAGAACGGTAAGTACCAAGCAAAGAAGATTCTTTAACTACCACATTTCCACTGTAATGTAATAACAAATCATCCAGCACCGACTACTTGAGGATGACAGACTCCATCCTTTTCATATTAGATGAAATTATAGAAGCTGATACAAAAAGTGTTAGGAGGGCTGGGAAATTTAATCAGCATGAACACATTATGTCAGGCATACAGAGAAAAGGGATTTTCATTTATTCATTCATGGGAGTGGGTGTCACTGTCTGGGTCAGCATTTATTGCCCATCCCTCGTTGCCTTTGAGAATGTGGTGCTAAGCTGCCTTCTGGAAACATTACAGTCCGTTTATTAGGAGGGGAGTTCCACAATTTTGACCACGTGACAATAAAGAAATTCTAATTCTAGACAATCTAAGAAAAGCATTGGTTGCCAGGTAACTAGAGAAAAAATAGTACAGATTTATTTCTTAACAGTTAAAAAGTTTATCTTTAGAAAATTTGAAACAATCAATATGGTCCAACACTCAAAGGAAATTAACAAATTTCTAGAATAAGTAATACTGGGAAACCTCAGCTATTGTTAAGAAAATGTTTTATCCAGAGGTCACACTGGTTGCATCTTCTTGTTAACTTTGCCCCTCGTTATCGCCTCCTTTTTATTTTCAGTTCATGTCCAAGTGCAACAAGACCTGAACAAAAGTCAAGTTTGGATCAAAAAGTAGAAAGTAACATTTCATGCCACACAAATGACCACCTCCAGCAAGAGAAAATCTAGCCATCGCCTCTTGACATTCAATGGCATCGCCATCTCTGAATCCCCCACTGTCAACGTTGTGAGAGTTACCATTCACAAGAAACTGAATTGGGATGGCTATGTAAATACTGTTGCCACAAGAGCAGATAAGAGACTAACAACCCTATAGCGAGTAAATCTCCTCCTGACTCCCAAAGCCATAAAGTACAGTCTAGACATAGATGGAATACTCCCCAGTTGCCTGGATAAGTTCAGTTCCAACAACACAAGAAATTTGACAGCATCTAGGACAAAGCATCCTGCTTGATTGGCACCACATCCACAAATATTCACTCCCTCCATCACCAATGCTCATAGCTGCAGTTTGCATGATCTGCAAGATGCACTGCAGTAATTCACCATAGCGCTCTAGGCAGCATCTTTCAAACTCCCACCACTATCTAGGAGAACAATGGCAACAGACACATGAAACCACACCACCCATGGGTTCCCCTCCAAACTGCACACCATCTGAGTTGTAAATATATTGCTGTTCCTTCAGTGTTGGGTCAAATTACTGGAATTCTTTTGCCCCCTGCCCCCACAAAAAAAAATAGCATTGTAGATCTACCTAGAGCACATGATTGCAGTGGTTCAAGAAGGCAGCTCACCAGCACGTTCACTCAAGCACATAGGGGCGAGCAATAAATGCTGGCTCAGCCAGCGACAACCACATCCCATGAATGAATAAAAATAATTGGTGTCAGGTTAGCAAGGACTACCAATAGGTCTCTGGTAAATGTGCCTTTCATACTTAAAATGCTTAAGCTCCCCGTGTAATTAATAAAGTTAAAGAAACACAGATCATCTTCCTTTTTATCATGTGCAATGCTTTCGCGTCATTTTTGCAGATGTCGGCATGTTTCCTTTGGGTTAGTTAAAGGGATGAAGACTCGGAAAGGAGATGTTGTCTTTCTAGAAGATGTTATGAATGAAGCCCGGTGCAGAATGCTGCAAAACATGGCTGCCTCAAAGAGTGAGTGCTCCATTCTAATAGTTAAAACTTTACCTTCTTTCCAGCCCTCAAAGGACTGCCTCCTTCATAGCTGGAGATTGAGTCATAGAATCCCTATAGTGCGGAAGCAGGCCATTCAGCCCATCAAGTCCACGCCAACTGTCCAAAGAGCATTCCATCCAGACCCACCACCACCCTATAACCCTGCATTTCCCATGGCCAAACCACCTGACCTCCATGTCTTTGAACTGTGGGAGGGAACCAGAGTACCTGGAAGAAACACACATCCTTGGCCCTGTGAGGCTCACCCTTTAAGTGGTACTCCAAGTTTCCTAACTGTTTGCTCCTAGGGTAATTTCCTGCAGCTAATGGGTTTACCATCAGAACCATCAGGGATATCTGAGCTATGACTGACAACTTTATGAATTATGCTCAGGAGACATTGATTCATTACATTGAAACATTTACAAAAAAAAGTTAAATGTCCAATTCTGTGACTACTTAGTGGTTTACATGCTGTGATCTTAAAAGAACGAATCAAACAAATTTTATCGCATTTAACAAAGGAAGAGATGTGATTACTTATTTCTATTTTAAGCTGATCTTTAGAATATAACAAAATACACTTCGACTTCTGTGTCCAAACAAGAAATACAAATTAGGGGAATATGTTTTGGCCAAATTAGTATCCACATTAGAGTATCTAGTTTGAAGCCTGTTGACAAAGTTCCCTTCAAGTTGAACTTGATGATTTTGATGCTTCTAGTTTATAGATAGCAGAGTTGGTGGTGTGGAGAGAGGGGCAGGAGGGCCCCCACTTCACTTCTCGGCTACCTATCCTGGAGAATCTAGGTTCTGAGAACACGTGTGTGACTTGTCACGTGACCACCTCTGTCAACTGCCAGTAATTCAGATAATTGTAAATTCCAATTGTAACTTGATTGAGTCAGAGCTGGGAACTACCCCATCTTAGCCAAGTGTCCCATTGTCCAAGGAATTAACCTTTTGATGGTTTGTCTTGAATACGTGAATAGTTGAGGTGATTTTCCGTAGATGTCGTCTTGATTGTGCAGAATGGAAAGTCATTCATAATCCCCATGGGGGTCACTTTCTCTGGTGGGTTTTAATGGGATTGGAATATGGGATTATAGCAATGCAAGTTAATGTTGGCCATCTTGAGCTGAGTCGAGTCTCTGGGTTATAAGAGAAACTAGAATCATAGAATCCCTATAGTGCAGAAAGAGATCATTTGGCCCATCGAGTCTGCACCAATGCTCCAAAAAGCATCCCACCCAGACCCCTACTGCTGTAACCCTGCATTTACTAAGAATAATCCACCTAGTCTACTCAATCCTGGACAGTATGGACAATTATGCATGACCAGTCCACCTAACCTGCATGTCTTTGGACTGTGGGAGGAAACCAGAGCACTTGGAGAAAACCTGCGCAGACCAGGGAGAACTTGCGACCTCCACATAGTCCCCCACCCGAGAGTGGAATTGAACCCAGGTCCCTGGCACTGTCACGCAGCAGTGCTAACCACTGAGCCACCTTGCCTTTTTAAAAGGTCCAATTTTGTGTATTTGGTTAATCAGATTAAAGATCAATATTTAGTACAAGCGCACTTTCATGTTCTACCGACAGATAGTGTTCATCAAAAGTAAATCCGCATTTTCCACTTAAATTTAAGCAGAAAGTGTATCTGAAAATCTTACTCGGTATTTGTTTACAGTACCATTCTAATCTGAGTCCATGGTAATATGCCATTATTGTCCTATCACATGTACAGTACAATTATGCTTTAACAACGGTGGAGGTAATGTAACACGAGTCCAAAAATTAAATGCTGATTGTGTGACTGTTGTAGCAGTTTCAAATTTAAAAATGTAAAGAAATTACAGAAAAACTACAGAATAAAATTCCTGAACTTGTACATCAAACAGAATAAAGCTGAAGATTGAGGTTTTAGTTTTGTTTCTATGGTGAGGGTAAACCCGTTGCAAGATATTTTTAAGGTCCTGATTCATTTGATTGTTTACAGGTGATTTGTGTTTAATTCTTTATTTTTATTCATATGAAGCAACAAAGGAATTGGAAGATCCTGAAGATACTGCAGAAAAAGTGGGTGTGGCTGCACTTATTATTCAGGTAGTGACTGACCCTTTGCTGTTTTCACTTTCATTGAGAGATTAGATGATTCTTAAATTTTCAATTTTTTTTTTAATCCTTTGTGAAAATTTTGGTGTGACGTGGGGAATAGGCTAAACTAGGAAATTCCACAATGAAACTTTTTGTTTTAACTGGAAAAGAATGCGTCCAGGTTATGTGGAGTAATCTTGTTTTCCTTTTGTGTTGTTGCTGTGTCCCGTTGTCCCTAGAACTGAAGGTGACATTCACTCGGGGTCACCAGTTAGTGCCACCAGGCATCATAAGACCATAAGAACTAGGAGCTGGAGCAGGCAGCTCAGACCCTCGAGCCTGCTCCGCTACTTAATATGATCATGGCTGGACTCATCTTGGCCTCAACTCCACTTTTCTGCCCACTCCCTATAATCCTTTAACCTGTTACTAACTAAAAATCTGTCCATCTCCTCCAAATTCATTCAGTGTCCTGGCGTCTACCATGCTCTGGGATAGTGAATTTTGCAGATTCACAACCCTTTGAAAGCAGTAATTTCTCTGTTTTAAATCTTCTACTCCTTATCCTAAGACTGTGACTCTTGTTCTAGATTGCCTGACATGAGTAAGCAGCGTCTCTCATCTACTTTGTCAATCACCTTTAGTGTCTTATCTACCTCAGTTAGATCTCCTCTCATTCTTCAAAACTCTGGAGAATATAGGCATAAACTGCTCAATCTGTCTTCATAAGACGAACCCCACATCTCTGGAATCAGTCTTGTGAACCTCCTCTAAACTGCCTCCAATCCAACTATATCCCCTCCGGTTAGAGGACCAAAATTGTCAGCCACGCTCCAGGTGTGGTCTCTCTAATGCCTTGTACAGTTGCAGCAACACTTTTTGTTTTCTATTTTTATACTCCTTCCATTTGCCTTCCGTATTGAGCTGAAGTCAGAAGTCACATGACACCAGGTTATAGTCGAACAGGTTTATTTGAAATCATGTGTTTTCGGAGTGCTGCTCCTTTATCACCTGATGAAGGAGCAGCATTCCTAAAGCTTGTGATTTCAAGTAAACCTGTTGAACCATAACCTGATGTTGTGAGACTTCTGACTTTGTCCACCCCACACTGGTCCAACACTGGCACCTCCACATCATATTACCAGCTGTACCTGCATGCCAGTTTTCTGTGAATCACGCACGAGGACATCCAGATCCCTCTGCGCTAAAGCACTCTGCTGTTTATAGAGTCCTAAAAATCAACAGTACAGAAAAAGACCCTTCAGCTTGTTGTGTCTGCACCAGTCAAAAACAGTCACTTAACTATTCCAATCCCATTTCCAGCACTTGGCCCATTGCCTTGTATGCCTTGGCATTGCAAGTGCACATCTAAACACATCTTAAATGTTATGAAGGTTTCTGCCTCTCCCACCCTTACGGGCAGTGCGTTCCAGATTCCTACCATCCTTTGGGTGAAAAAGCCTTTCCTCACGTCTCCTCTAAGCTTCTGTCCCTTCTCTTAAATCCCATGCCCTTGGCCACTGATCATTCTGTCAGGGGGAAACGTTTTTCCCTATTTACCCTATCTATGCTCCTCATTATTTCATATATCTCAATCATGTCCCCTCTGCTGTGAGGAAAACTACCCAAGTCTGTCCAATCTTTTCATGACTGAAACTCTCCAGCCTGAGTAATATCCTTGCATATCTCCTGTGCACCCTCTCTCCTGTTCTATCACATCCCTGCTACAGTGTGGACTCCTGAACTGCACACAGTACTCTAGGTGTGGCCTAACCAACGTTTTATAAAGTTCCAGTATAACCTTTCTGCTCTTAAGCTCTATACCTTGGCTAATAAAGACAAGTATGCCATATGCCTACTTGGGCTCCTGTGATGCAGCGATAGTGTCCCTACCTCTGAGCCATGAGGCCAAGATTCAAGTCCCAATTGCTCCAGAGGTGCTGAACGGGCTGAGTAAAATAAGTACCATATGCCTTAATCACTTTATCCATCTGACCTGATACAGTAAGGAACCAGTGTACACACACACCAAGGTCCCTCCGATCCTTGGTGCTTCCTGGGGTCCTTCCTACCATTCATCATGCATTCTCTTGCCTTGTTTGACCTGCCTAAGTACATCACCCCACATTTCTCTGAATTGAATTCTACTCATCATCCCATCTCACCAGGCCACCAACAGCCTATCTTCCTCACTATTTACACCTCATTTAGATAATGAGTTACCCTTTTATTCCCCAGACCCAAATGGTTAGCCTCACACTTACCTGTATTAAATGCCATTGGCCAGATTTTGACTCATTCACCTAACCTGCCCATATAATTTGTAAATTTCTTATTTCTTCATTGTAACTTACTTTCCCACCTATTTTTGTGATGGAACGGGTCAATTTTTGATTCTGAGATCATTGAGCAAGACGTCCCATGCGGTACTGGGATCTAGGGTGCAGATTGGCGGCATCATCTTTTCCTTATCATTAAGGTGTTGTGCTTCAAAGCAAGATGCAGCTTGATGAATGTGTCGTTGTTGCCTAACTGAGTGATTGGTAGCAAACTCGTCCTGGATATTCATATCACTGCTGTGTTCCAAGAAGAGCTTCATAGTGTCTAAGTAGTGTTTTCTTTATCCAATCCTGGGCCACTGATCTTTTAAGTGTTGAGAAAACTGGATTTGGTGGGGCGATGCTTTTTGGTCATTCGGACACAGTTCAATCCATTGTCCTCTAGGAAAAGTTTTTTCCTGAATGCTTATGGATCTGGCTTCGAGAAGGACACTGGTTCTTTGTTTAGTGGTCCTTCCAATCAATATGGAAAATATGATGGAGGCATTGCAGATGGAATTTCTCTAGTGCTGTTATGAGTTGCACACTGTGAAGTGGTGAAGTTACACATACTGGCCTCATCACTGCCCAATAATAATTTGGAAATCAGTCACTCAGTAATGTGCACAATTTTACTCTGAGAGTTTGCAGGCTGACAGTCTCTGCACACTCATTCATCTGTTAGGCATCTCTGCTGCTGACTTAGAGTACATAGTCAGGGAGGTTCCTTAATTTTCACTTTTGGGGGAGATGTTGACGCAATGGTAATGTCACTGGATTGGTAATATAGAGATCCGACATATAATGCTACAGGGACACAAGTCTGAAATGGCAGCGTTGAAATTTAAATTCAGTTAACTAATGAATCTGGTATTATAAGCTGGTCTCTAATAGTACCATGAAACTATCATCAGTTGTCATGAAAAATTGATCTGGTTCACTAATGTCCTTTTAGGGAAGGAAGCATGTCATCTTTACCCAGTCTGACTTGCGTATGATTCCGCAGCAATGTGCTTAACTCTCTAAAATAGCTAAGCACTGTTGTATCAATCTGCTACAGATATCAGATATACTGCTGTCGTTTGGAAAGGTGACTCATCACGATCACCTCGAGGGCAATTGGGGATGGACAGCAATTGCTGATCTTGCTGCATCCCACTAAAGAATTTTAAAACCTGTTTCCTCAGCAGCCATATATTAGGCACCCATCTTTGATACACACAAAAAATAAATGTATGTAGCCAAATGCAGCTGCCTAAATGGAGGATGTTAGTTTTCTCCACGAGGAGGATGAATTTTGTGAATCTTAGACCTGATTAAAAGGAATGGAGAGGATTGTTGTGCCTGCCAGGTTTTGAGGTCTCTACTCTCTAATTAGTGTCTCTCTTTGGCATCTTAGTGTATGTTTGACACCCAACGAAGTCTGGGCAGTCACTCTCAGTCTGAGAGCGCCTCTTCAGGCATATTCAGTGATATTGGCAGACAAGGGTTTTGAACTTTAACAAGCTTTTCCTGGATATGGGCAGCACCTGCCAGGCTCCAATAAGCCAGTGGGTGTGCACTTTCGGAGGGCTCAGAATTTCAGTCTCAATGGATTTATTTCACTTTGCGAGGAACCACTTAACTTCCACCTAGTATTTCCAAACCAAGACCGTCCTCATAACATTGAGGCATAGGATTGAGAGTTCCTCACCGAGATGCTCCAATGCACTGACTGTGTTGTAAGTTTGCTTTAAAATCTCTAAATAAATTTGGTTTTATATAAAAACTGAACAACAAAATTCTTAGTTCACATGCACTTTTGTTATTGTGACTGTTAGACCACTTGGGCCTGTAGATTTGTGCATTCACTATTTTGCAGCCAGCAGGGACAGCATTGCACATTAATATAAAAGCCTTTTAATTGATCAGAGCAACTATGTAAGTAAGTAAGTAATATTGACAACTGTACTTAAGTATGTTCCTGGAGATTTAATCACATGCTTTTCCCCTAGATACCACTCATTAGTTGGCCAATACATCCATTCTGTGATGCACTGCCTTCCTGTGCCAATAATTTCCAACTGATGTTTGACTGTCAACAGCCTTACTTGTTTCCATCCCCATTTTCAATATGCTTATATCTGGTAAAAAGAAACATTCAAAGAAATGAAAAAGAAACACTTTTTTTTTAAACGTCTATGATCTTTCTCCAGGGTTGCACTCAACAGTGTTCTGGAGGGTGATATTCAATTCCTGGAGACTCCAGGTCCATCCTAGAAGCTTGGAACAGAGTTTGTCAAATTGTGAAGTACAAATATTAATGGCACGATTTTCATTTCTTTCTCAAAGTCAATTTTTCTGAGTTTCTTTCAAGTTGGTAAGTTAGGACTTCTTTTGAAATGAAAAGTGACTAACTCTTTTAAATATAATTTATAGGACTTCAAAGGACCCCTCTTGTCTGATTATGAATTCGACTGGGATCGTGTCCTCCAAAGCCATGGAGATACTGGAGTATTTTTACAATACACTCATGCAAGGCTGTGTAGGTAAGGTGCAAATGCAGAAGAGCCAAGAAATCTTTTGGCAGCATGTTGGATCAGTGTAAAACAGCTGTTCATGTACAGTATCCAAAAGATAAAAATTGCAGGCTAGCAGGAAATGGAAGGAGATAAAGGTTGGATAACTCGTTCAAAAAACTAGCACGTGCGTGATTGGCTAAATATCTCCCTTTTATGTTCTGTATTGCCTCTTGAACATCCCCAATTTTGCAAACACGCAAAATTGGCGCGGGTGTTGTCCACTCGGCCCCTGGAGCCTGCTCCACCATTCAATAAAATCATGGCTGATCTGTTTATATTTCAAATTCTACATTGCTGTCTATCCCCATATCTTTTATTTCCCTGCCTAAAAGTATCCATCTTCCTTTGCCTTAAACATATTTAATGACTTTGCCTCAAGTTGCACAACCCTCAGACAAAGGATTTTCTTCATTGCATTCCTAAAAGGGTAATCCTTAATTTTAACAGTATCCTGTAGTTATGGACTCAATCACAAGATGAAACCAAGTTTCCACATTCACCTTGTCAAGACCATTCAGGACTTTGTACTCTTCAATCAAGTCAACTCTCACTCTTCAAACCTCCAGTGGAAACAAGATCACCCTGTCGACTTGTTCTCATAAGACAAATCACTTACTTCAGGCATAAATCTCGTAAACCTCCTTTTAACTGTCTCCAGTGCTTTTACATCTTCCTTAAATAAGGAGAGCAAACTACATACTGTATTCAAGATGTGTCTCATCAATGTCTGTTAACTGAAGCATAACGTCCTTGCTGTTATATTCAGTTCTTCTCATAATGAAGCATAGCATGTTCCACTGTGAAGCGTAGCATCCCATTAGCCTTATTGATTATGTGATGTACCTGAATACTAACTTTTTCTGACTCATCGACTAAGGTTGAAGTTCGTCTGCACCTGTAGAATTGCCAGTCTGCAGCCCCATCAGTTTGCTTAGTGCTGCTTCCTTTACAATTATAATGTCACTAAGTTAATCTCTCCCAGAGCAAACTGTTTGTTAATTGCATCTTCCATTTCCTTATTGCCTAATAACTCCCCATCCTCTGACCAACACTCACTGTACCTTATTTTCCTTCTGAAGAACCTGTCCACTCTTGCATTCCTACTTAGCTTCCTCTTGTACTCTAATTTCTTCCTACTTATGGGTTTTTTTATCTTTCTACTATTCTTTATATTCTGACCAATCCTGTGACCTGCCATTTACTTTGCACAGGTGTGTGCTGTTTCTGTATTTAGTTAACCATGGATAGTGGGCCCTTTCTTTAGAATCTTTATGTATTCTTAATCTTAATATAGCAAACTTTTTATTATCCATCACCTGTGGGACCAGCAGTGTGCCAGTTGATAAAGAGGTCCATATAATCAATGTAAAAACAAACAAAGTAATAGAAACGTAATGTAGGAGATATACACATCACTGTCCGGATGACAGGCGGTTAAAAGAGCATTGTTTGTAAAAGGCAGACATCCGGGATGCTTGGGAATGGAATGCCTCCTCTCCAGAGCAGATGAGATGGAGGAATTGGGAAAACAGGATGGAGTGTGGGAGGAGGTGTGGCTATGGGAGTCTGTGGCTTTGTAGTAAGTGTCTCTTTTGTTATACCAGTTTTACAACTATTTTACTTCAAGTATGTGCATTTGTGAATGTTTGACGGTCAAATCTTGTTTTTAACAAGACCTCTGCCCTCAACCCTCCAAGGAAAGAGTCAGTGGAGAAATAGAGTTCAAATATCTGGATTGGCTAATCTGGACTCATTCCTGTCCTTTTTAAATATTTAAATGATAATTCAAAGCATGGGTGAATCTCCTGCAAAGTCAGGCAGTGATTAAATTATCAAACCACAACTGTGATCTGATGTCCAGCTCAGTGCCACAAATTAAATGGAATGTGAGGGGGAAACCTTTAGCTGTGGGATACTAGGCTAGTGAACTTGAATGGGGAAGTGCTGACACCCCAGATGAAATGGTTTATTCAGCACTTCCTTGGGCCAGGGAAGAGCCTTTTGAAAAGAATTATATCAGCCCCAGTGTCTGATAGGTGCAGATAGGCAGAAGCTTGACTGAAGAATTTAAGATGTGCAATTGTAGAAAAAAATGGGCACACATTGGGAAGCCAAAAGACATTCAGGAACTTTGAAGGGGAAATTATGTTGGAGATGGGAGTAGTTTGCAAGGACAGAGCATCTGTTAAGTAGTCGGGATGAACCCAATCAGTGCTATTTTGAGGTGGGGTGATGACATTTTGAAAGGGAAGATAGAAATGTAGTGACCACCACAAGATATTATCTGTCAACTAACTTGCAAATAGTTAATGCCTTTAACTACCGCTGGTGGGATTCTTTCTGCTGCTTAACACATGTTCAGCTATGTGAGGTTCAAGAGAGTTCAAACATATCACCACTGATGCCAAGCCAGCATTGTGCATGCATGCTTGCACAAAGCCTGTTTCGTTTCCTGTGGAAGCTCACTGCATGTGGAAACACCCTCAGCAAGGTGATGTCTGGTGTGATTTGTGCCTGAAGTCTGAAAGTGCATTCAACTCCAGTCTGGGTATGAATGGTAGCCATAGCATGCAGGTATCAAGTGATCAGAGTCAATGTATCGCCAAAAGTCATCCAAAGAACAGGTTTATCTGCCAGGACAGTGCAAATTATGAAATAACTTTCTTAACAGCAATAATAATAGCAGCCACACAAGAGGTTTTGAACTGCCCATTGACTACAAAACAGTGTACAAGTTGCATAATGGAGTCTTTACTGTAGCCTTTCTTCTGAGCAATCTGGCTCCGAGACTATTCGAAGAATAAGGCAATACTTGTCCATCATGAAATCTCCTTTACAACAAGAACTGTTAGAAGTTGGATTGTAAATATCTGTTGATCAGTAGAATATGAACAATTTAGACAAGTTGAGTGAGTGGGCAGGTACTTGGCAGATACAGCATAATGTGGATAAGTATGAAGTCGTCTACTTAGGTAGGGGAGAGAAAAGATCAATTGGCAGAGCATTATTTCAATGGTGATGGATTGGGAAAGTTGAGATAGAATGGGTTCAGAGATAGTAGGAACTGCAGATGCTGGAGAATCTGAGATAACAAGGTGTAGAGTTGGATGAACCCAGCAGGCCAAGCAGCATCAGGAGCAGGAAAGCTGATGTTTCAGGTCTAGACCCCCCTCCAGAAATGGGGGAGGGGAAGGGGGTTCTGAAATAAATAGGGAGAGAGGGGGAGGCAGAAGATGGATAAAGAAAATAGGTAGAGAGGAGACAGACAGGTCAAAGAGGCGGGGGTGAAGCCAGTAAAGGTGAGTGTAGTGGGGAGTTAGGGAGGAGATAGGTCAGTCCAGGGAGGACGGACAGGTCAAGGGGGCAGGACAAGGCTGGTAGGTAGGAGATAGAACATAGAACATTACAGCGCAGTACAGGCCCTTCGGCCCTTGATGTTGCGCTGACCTGTGAAACCAATCTGAAGCCCATCTAACCTAAACTATTCCATTATCATCCATATGTTTATCCAATGACCATTTAAATGCCCTTAAAGTTGGCGAGTCTACTACTTTTGCAGGCAGGGCATTCCACGCCCTTACTACTCTCTGAGTAAAGAACCTACCTGTGACATCTGTCCTATATCTATCACCCTTCAATTTAAAGCTATTCCCCTCGTGCTAGCCATCACCATCCGAGGAAAAAGGCTCCCACTGTCCACCCTATCTAATCCTCTGATCATCTTGTATGTCTCTATTAAGTCACCTCTTAACCTTCTTCTCTCTGACGAAAACAGCCTCAAGTCCCTCAGCCTTTCCTCATAAGACCTTCCCTCCATACCAGGCAACATCCTGGTAAATCTCCTCTGCACCCTTTCCAATGCTTCCACAGATGGGGATGGGGCTTGAGGTGGGAGGAAGGACAGGTTAGGGAGGCGGGGACAAGCTGGGCTGGTTTTGGGATTCGGTAGGGGGAGGGGAGATTTTGAAGCTTGTGAAGTCCACATTGATACCATTGGGCTGCAGGGTTACCAAGAGAAGTATGAGGTGCTGTTCCTGCAACCTTCGGGTGGCATCGTTGTGGCACTGCAGGAGGCCCAGGATGGACATGTTGTTTAAGGAATGGGAGGGGGAGTTGAAATGGTTCGCGACTGGGAGGTACTTCCGCCGCATCTGCTCCCAGGATGAGGCATTCCACTCCCGAACATCTGATATCCTCGTTTTTCAAGGATGGCAATACCCCCCCCCCCCCCCCCCCCCCACCACCCAGTGGTCGAGAACGCCCTTGACCGTGTTTCCCGCAACTCATCCCTCACACCCCCTCCCCGCAATAACAACCAAAACAGAATCCCCTTCGTCCTCACGTACCACCCCACCAACCTCCGTATCCAACGCATCATCCTCCGACACTTCTGCCATCTGCAATCCAACCCCACCACATTTTTCCCTCCCCACCCTTATCTGCTTTCCGGAGGGACAACTCTCTCCGTGACTCCCTTGTCTGCTCCACACTCCCCTCCAGCCCCGCCACATCTGGCACTTTTCCCTGCAACCGCAGCAAGTGCTACACCTGCCCCTACACCTCCCCACTCACCCCCATCCCAGGCCCAAAGAAGACCTTTCACATCAAGCAGATGTTCACCTGCACGTCTGCTAATGTGGTATACTGTATCCGCTGTTCCCGTTGTGGCCTCCTCTACATCAGGGAAACCAAGTGGAAGCTTGGGGACCGCTTTGCGGAACACCTACGCTCGGTTCGCACCAAACAACTGCACTTCCCAGTCGCGAACCATTTCAACTCCCCTTCCCATTCCTTAGATGACATGTCCATCCTGGGCCTCCTGCAGTGCCACAACGATGCCACCCGAAGGTTGCAGGAACAGCATCTCATATTTCGCTTGGGAGCCCTGCAGCTCAATGGTATCAATGTGGACTTCACAAGCTTCAAAATCTGTCCTCCCCCAACCGCATCCCAAAACCAGCCCAGCTCGTCCCTGCCTCCCTAACCTGTCCTTCCTCCCACCTCCAGCCCCACCCCCATCTTCTACCTACTAACCTCATCCCATCCCCTTGACCTGTCCGTCCTCCCTGGACTGACCTATCCCCTCCCTAACTCCCCACCGACACAGACCTTTACTGGCTCCACCCCCGCCTCTTCGACCTGTCTGTCTCCTCCCCACCTATCTTCTCCTTTTATCCATCTTCTATCCGCCTCCCCCTCTCTCCCTATTTATTTCAGAACCCCCTTCCCCTCCCCCATTTCTGAAGAAGGGTCTAGGCCCGAAACGTCAGCTTTCCTGCTCCTCTGCTGCTTGGCCTGCTGTGTTCATCCAGCTCTACACTTTGTTATCTGAGATAGAATGGGTCCTGGGTGTTCTTTTACACTTGTCGTTAAAAGCAAGCGTGCAGGTGGCACCAAGCAGTTAAGAAGGCAAATGATATTCCAGGAGAGCTTGAGTACAAGAGCAAGGATGTCTTACTGCAGCTGTACAGGGCCTTGTGAGACCACACCTGGGGTGTTGTGTGTAGCTTTGATCTCCTTACCGAAAGAAAAGTATTTTCCTTAATAAGACTAACAATGGTCCACCAGATTGATTCATAATCGTACAGCATGCTGGGATGGCAAATTTATCCAGTGTGGAGAGATTGGATCAGTTGGACCTGTTTTTACTGAAGTTTAGAAGAATGAGATGGGATTTCATTGGAAAAATACAAAATTCTGACAGGATGGAAGAGATCGAATGCAAAGGTGATGGCTATAGGCTGTAGAACAGCGATTTATGGCCTTAGGATATGGGATAAGCCATTTTGGACAGAGATGAGAAATTTCTTCACGGAAGGCTGTGTTGACCAAGCCATTAAATATCTTGAATAAACAATTAGATTTCTAGAGAATAAGGGTCTTGAGGATAATGGGGTCAGAACAGGAATATGTCTTTTGAGGTAAAGTATCAGCCACGATGTTGTTGAATGGCAGAATGGTCTCTATGGACCATTTTTGGACCTCCTACTGCTCCTGTTTTTTTATGAAAGTACGTAAGCAATGACATCGTTAATGTTGACTTTAGGGCTCAAGTGTTCTTTTATGACTTGCTCTCTTTGAGGTATTTACAGCTGCAATTTTTTTTAATCAACGCAGTTTACAGAGATCATTTGAAAATAGAATAGAGGAGCAGTTCAACCCAGCGTATTTACAAGAACCTCAGGCAATTGCATTATTGCAGCATCTCCTCAGGTATGACAGATATAACATTGCTTCTCAAAAGATATAGTTATAAATACAGTTCATGATTTAATAGCTGTAAGTAATGAATTCTCTTAGTGAAGGTTCTTTCTGTTCTAAGTTATATTCCTGATCTGTTGCATTCCCTGCTGGACACTAACCTTAACAGTGTTGTGTGGGTGGTGAACTACAACACACACACTAACAATTCAAGGCGTTGACTCCCCAAGCCCATCCAAGAGCAAATAAACAATAAATACTGATCTTACTAAAGATACCCATGTCTCGTGAACAAATAGTGTGTAAATAGTTTGTATTTTAAAATTGTAAAAAGTCATTTTGCTAATTTTATTTCTGTAAGTATGGCTTTTAAGATTTTTTGTATTGAAGCAGTACATGAAATGTTATGTCAAGGTGTCATATGTTCCTTTGGGTTTTTTTAAGGTATGATGAAGTTCTGTTCCAAGTTTCGGAGGACCTCCAACCTAAACATCTTGTAAGCTACCTGATAATGTTGAGGTAAAGATTCTTGCTGCCGCAGTACCACTTTTAGATGGCCATCTTCAGTGCTTGAGGCTTCATCTCTTTGGAATAAATGTTTTCTAAAAACTCCTTTTTCAAAATCTGCCAGCTCCAAAATTTTGGGGTGACTTGTTTCACAATATCTTGACCAACCTGAAATAGCGTTAGTGGCAAAATGTCCTATTTATTTCCTGGCTCTTAAAAGAAAGGCTACTTATTTTTAATTGTTGTCCAGCGATCAAAATAATTACTGTTCTGGTGATAACTTTCCGATGCACAAATCAACATAGAATCATCGTCAAATCCCTACAGGTGTGGAAAGAGGCCATTCAGCCCATCAAGTCCATATTAATCCTCCAAAGAACATCCCAACCCCACCCTCTCCCAGTAACCCTGCATTTCCCATGGCTAACCCACCTAATACTGTTGCCTCACAGCACCAGGGACCCAGGTTCAATTCCAGCCTTGGGCGACTGTCTGTGTGGAGTTTGCACATTCTCCCCGTGTCTGCATGGGTTTCCTCCGAGTGCTCTGGTTTCCTCCCACAGTCCAAAGATGTGCAGGTTAGGTGAATTGGCTGTGCTAAAATTGCCCATAGGGATGTGTAGATTAGGTGGGTTATAGGGGGATGGGTCTGGGTGGGGTGCTCTGATATTCAGTGTGGACTTGTTGGGCCGAAGGGCCTGTTTCCACACTGTAGGGATTCTATGATCTATGATCAACTTGTACATCCCTGGACACTATGGGCAATTTAGCATGGCTAATACACCTAACCTGTACAGCTTTGGACTGGGGGAGGAAACTGGAGCACCTGGAGGAAACCCGCGCAGACAATGCAAACTCCACACAGTCCGTGGCTTGAGGGTGGAATCAAACCCAGGTCCCTGGTGCTGTGAGGCAGCAGGGCTAACCACTGAGCTACTGTGCAAGTTGCGTGAAGTTAAGAGTAGTTCCCAGGATCTCCTCTAGATGCAGGTGGGGATTGAATCAATTTGGATGCCCTTTTTATTTTGTTTCCAGCATATTGCTGATACTGCAATGACAGCATTGATTGCCCATTCCTGATCTTACTATTTCAATGAAAAGTTTTTGTTTTAGGAGGGAAATTCTCCTATGGATTTTCAGAGGCCAACTTTTACTTATCATCTCAACACAAGGTTTTGGTCCCAGTCAACAGCGACTTCATGATTTTGAAAGTCAACTGATTAATCTGCGATTTCAAGGGTTTGCCACATGTCATTTGAGGAAATAACACAGTTCTCTGAGTTAGTTACTTGGAGTTACACTTAAATGTATCTCCAGCAATGGTCAATATGCATCTGCTAGTTTCCTCCCTCAATTCCTCTTTTCTGAATAGACTTCTTGTAAGACATCGTTCACTACATAGCAGTAGCCCTCTGCTTCTTGATCGGAAAGTAGCACAAAAGAAAATCTAACCCTGTCCTTGGTGAAGTGTGAAGTTATTCACTTTGGTCATAATATGTTGTTTTCATTTTTTTTTTAATGTGGAACCTGCAAGTATTGACACAGACTTTTGGGTGTGCACATGCAAAGTGTGCAGAAAATTAACATACAGATACAGCAAGTAACTAAGAAGGCAAATGGCATATTGGCCTGTATTGCGAGAAAATTGGAGGACAGGAATAAAGAAGTTGTATTACAATTGTGCAGGGTTTTGGGGAGACTGCAAATGGAGCAATATGTGTAATTTTGATCCCCAAAGTTTAAGAAATGATGGATTTACATTAGAAGCAGTACAACAAAGGTTCACTAAGTTGGTCCCTGGGATGAGAATGTTGGTCTGTGATGATAGACTGATCAAATTGGGGCTGGATTATCCGAAGTTTAGAAGAATGAGAGGTAATCTCATTGAAATATACAAGATTCTGAAGAGCTAGAAAGGGTCGATGTTGATAGATTCTCTGACCAGAAGCTAAAACACAGGGTCATAATACGGGACTGACTTATGTGAGGCAAGGAATGCTTTCACTCAAGGGGCTATATATCTTTGGATTATCTGCCCCAGAACGTTGTGAAGTCTCCATTAGCTTTATTGCTAATATAAATATTGAACAGGCACATTTTGATCACTCAGGGAATTGAGCGATATGAGAAACAGGCAGGAATATGGAATTAAAGACCAACATCAGTTGCGACCATATTGATTGATTGGGCCATACAGTGCTCCTATTTCTTAATGTACCCAATATTCATACCTGAGCACTTTGCAGTAAGCTTGAATAGCAACCTGTAGTAGACATGCTTCCTGAGCCTCTGCTTGTGACTAAGCACACAGTGTAGTCATTTTGTACGAACTCCACCCAACTTGTAAAAATAAATGTAACGACTCTTTCTCAATACCTTGTTAAACTTTCTTTTTTTGTTTTGCAGCCGTCTTGCTTCTATAGCTCACAGGACTCTGCACGTCAAAGGCAGCTTATCTGAAGTAGCAACGGTTAGTGTGTATTACTTAATAAATCTGTCCAGTTGTTGTAAGGTATTGTTGCACAGAGTTCTCTTAAATTAAACTTTAAAAATCCAACCAGCATTACTGCTGTATCAACTTACGGTCAAGTTTGAGTCCTGAGGCTGCCTGAAGGTTTAATCCTTCAGCTATAATCAATTTCCTTTTTTAAAAAAAAAAAAAATTGTTGATTAGTGTTATTAACCCAAAAGCATTAGATGTATTTCACTCTGAGGCTGATGAATTATTATTCAGTAACTTGTGGAGCTAAAATGAGTATTGGTGGTGATTCAAAAGATTGTCTTCTTGCTTGAGACAGACTCTGTTTTGCAGTAACCCTTGATTCCTTTACAGATTAAAAATCTGTCAGTCTTAGCCTTGAATATACATCATGAGCCAGCGTCGCCAGCCCTCCGCAGTAGAGAAATCCATGGATTCGCTACTTTCTGAAAGAAGAAATTCCTCCTTATTTGTATCTTAAGGCATTCAAGAGGGCATTGGATATTTATTTGAATAAAAATAATGTGCAAGGATATGGAAAAAGCAGGAGACTGGCAGTAGGTAGTGATGCTCTTTTATCATGCCACTGCAGGCATGATGGACAGAATGGCCTCTTCCTGGGCTGTAACATTTCTGAGATTCTGATGTAGGGAAACCCTCACTCTGAGTTTGTTCCCTCTGGTCCTAGACTGTCCCACAAAGGAAAACAATTACTTCTGCATAACTCTGTCAAGATCCCCAAGAGTTTTATATATTTTAATAAGGTTGCTTGTCATTCTTCTAAATTGCAATGAGTACAGGCCCAACCTACTCCACCTGTTCTCATAAGACAGTCCCTTGATGCTCTTCTCTAAACTGCATCCAATGCCAGCATAAATGCGCTTAAATAAGGTGCACAGTATTCTAGCTGTGCTCTGACCGGTGCCTTGTATAGTTATAGCAAAACCTTCCTACTTTTGTACTCCATTCCCTTTCCCTTGAAAATAAAAGCTGAAGTCCATTTACCTTCCCTATTTTCTACTGAATTTGGATGTAAAATAAAACAAAGACCTGCGGAGGCTGGAGATCTGAAACAAAAACAAGTCTGGCAAGACTTGTGGGAAGAAAGCAGAGTTAATATTGCTGTTTTTGAATGTGGATGCTAGTGTTTTTGTGATTTATGCACAAGGACTCCTAAATCCCTTTGTGCTGTAGCTTTCTGCACTTAACTAATAATCAGCTCCTCTATTCTTCCTGCTAGGGTGCATAGCCTCACATTTTTCCTCTATCTGCCTTGTTTTTGCCCACTTGCTTAATCTGTCTGTATCCTTCTGCAGACTAATGTGTCATCGTTGCCGCCTTCCCATCTGTTTGTGTTAATAACAAATTTGGCTAGAGTATATTTACTTCCTTGTTGAGCTATATCTGAGTCACAAAATATTTTCTTAAATGTCTGCCAGTGTACCTCCTCCATCTTTGCTGCTAAACTCCTTTCCCAGTCCATTCCAACTAGTTATGCCCTCATTGCTTTGCAATTACCCTCAATTAAGCTTAGCACAGTTGTTTTCAACCCATGTTCCTCACTTTTAAACTGAGTGCTAAATTCTACCATGTTATGGTCACTGCTTCCTAGGGTATTTTTACTCTGACATCATTTATTAAACCTGCCTCATTACACATCAGATCCAAAATAGCTTGACCCCTAGTTGGATCCACAACATATTGCTCTACACTCTGAATTCTTCCCCATGGCTATCTCTATCAATCTGACCATCCCCAGCTACATGAGGATTATGGTCTTTTGTGATTCATGTACTGTCTTTGTTACTTGCTGCCATTATCTCCTGATATATTCTCTGTCCCATTGCAAAGCCACTGTTCAGGGGTCTAGACTCTACTCTCAGGGTCATCTTCCTCTTTTTTTGTTTCTTACTCCTACCCACATGGATTTTACAACTTTAAGTTTGAGATCACCCCCTGCTATCATGTTTATTCTATCCCATTCCAGCAATGGAATATTTAATTCCCAGCTTTGACCTCATTGTAACCATGTCTCTGTAATGACTATAATGTAGAAATGCATTAACCTATATTTGTGCCATTAACTCATTTATCAATTCCAGACACTATAAGCATTTAAGTAAAGAGCCATTAATTTTGCCATTTACCATTTTGTTCCCCGGTTAGCCTGTTTAAGTGCTGTTTTTCTGTTTGTATACTCTGTCTGTTCCTGTCCCACATTGGATGGTGTTATTCAAATAGCTGCCCTTTAATTCTGTTGTTTCTCTTGCTCTGTAAGCTTACATTTCCCCTGTCCCAAGCCCTGTCTACAGTCCTACTTATTCATTTCATCACAATGCTGATCCCTGTACAGTTCAGGTTAAGCCCAATCCACCAGAACAGCTCCTTTCTATTCCAGTCCTGGTTTTAGTACCCCATGAACTGAAACCCATTCTACTCTTATCAATTTTTTGAGCATGCATTTAACTTTTTGACTCTGTGCCAGTTTGCCCATGGCCCAGGTAGTAATCCGGAAAGGATTACCTTGGACATTCTGCCTTGTAATTTAGTTCATGACTGTTCAGAATCTTTCAGCAGAACCTCCTTTCTTGTCCCAGCAATGTCACTGATAGCAAATGGAACCCTCCCCGCACTCGCTATGTTCTTCTCCAGCCTTGAGGAGACATCCTTAACCCTGTCAGTGGGCAGGCAGCACAGCCCTCGGACTCCCTGGCTGTAGAAAACAGTATCAACACCCCCTAGTTATACTGCCTCTACCATAACCACATGCCTATTTCCTTCCCCTACTTGAATGGTCCTCTGTATCAGGTTGCCATGGACAGTTGTAGGAGTCAGTGCTCCTCAATTGCAACCCTGTGGGTGCTCATACTTACTTCACCTGCAGTTACACCCTCCTGTTCCTGATCAGAGATCAATTTTGAATTGCCTAATTGAATACAGTCTTTGTTAATATTGCAAGGATAATATCATAGTACCTGAGAATTGTACATGCATTAACACAGAAATGGTTGTCTTTTATATAAAAAGTGCTGTTAGTTAGCAGTATCTATTTAATTTTTTGTAACAATTTAAATTGATATATTGAGTATTGATGTAATCAAAATTTTTCATTTCTGAATCCAAAATTGCAGATTTTTCATAAATTTGTTCATCCAGTATTTACACTTCTGAGAGTTATTTCACCTCTATTCCTCTTTATTCTAGGCAAGATATCTACTTTTCAAGGGAACCGCTTCCGTGTTAGCCAATGGAATGAAACTGCTTGGTATAACGCCAGTGGAGAAGATGTGATGTAGCACCTGCTTTTATATTCTAATCAATTTAATGACTCAATTCAACAAAATTTAAGTAAAGATGTGATTAAACCCACATGTTTACAATAGCTGATTAAACCCAAAGTAAACTTTGCTTTTAGCTGAGTACCCATAAGGAAGAAAACAAGATGGCAGACTAAAATTTCCTTGTGCAACATTCGGTGGAGAGCAGGAATTTCTCTAATTCAACTCCACGTGAGGTATGGCCCACTGTCCAGAGAAGAATGAAGAGCTGAGGAAAGCCTGTCTTGTTTCAGACGGTCTATTTCATAGAACCAAGATTGTGAGAAATTGCTGCTGGCTGATCCGATTATGGTCAGTTTGGTAGAAAGAAATGAAATGTATTATTTAATGAGAGAGTGATTGCAGATCTCTGTAGTATGGAGGGATCTGGGTATCTTGGTACATGTATCACTGTTAATAAGCAGTTGAGAAGGCAAATGGAATGTTTATTGCAAGGAGAATGGGATATAAAAGTAGCAAAGTTTACTGCAGCTGTTCAAGGCCTTGGTGAGACCACATCTAGAGTACTATGTACCTTTTTTTTGACTCCATAGGAAAGGGTATAATTGCACTAGAAGTGGTTCAGAGAAGATTCAGATAACTGATTCCTGCAGTGAAAGGACTCTTATGAGGGAAAGTTGCAAAGTTCTGCTTTTATCCATTGGAATTTAGAACAATGAGAAATGATCTTGTTGAAACATAACAGATCCTGAGGGAACCTGCCAGGGTGGTTGCTGAAAGGATGTTACTGTCTGTGGGGAACACCGTTTTAAACTAACAGACATCCCATTTAATACTGAAATGAGGAGAAATTTTCTGAGGATCATGAGTCCAACAAATTTTCTTCCCCGCAGAGCATTGAAGGCAACGTAATTGAAGTCTTTCAGCAAATAATTATATAGGTTCTTGATACGTATGTTTGCTCATATCCTGTTCATTACTTGCTTTCCAATTTATCTTTGTACTGTCAACATACTTGGCCATAAAACAGACAGTCCCTTCATCAGAGTCATTAATATAGATTGCAAACAGTTTGATTCCATAATGAAATTATGTACTACTAGATTAATAATTCAAATTAATCTCAGCTAGATGGTCCAACAAAGCTTCTATTTTTTTTTTAAATATTGAGCATTACTGGGCTGACGATGATCAGATTATGTGGTGGGGAAAGTGAGATCTTGAATGATCGGTCAGCGCTGAGCTCAATGAGCAGCTAGTTTTAAAAAGCTCTTGAGCTACCCTTCCATTCCTCCCCATCAACACACCAACTATCTGAAATGGATTTCTACCCTGAAGGGGGAATGTGGTCAAAACAACCTGAAAACATCGGGGCAACATCTGAGGAAAGGGTTGTCTAGAATTGTTATTAGAGTTACTATCAAGGATACTACCATCATACGCTCTTCCACAAACAAAACTCTTCTGCTCTTATTTGGTAGCCAAGTTTGGAATTGATTCATTTGAATTGACTGACAGTATTGCTTGTAATAAAAATTGTCACTAAGTGGAATCATTTCCATTTGTTTCTGCAACCTGTGCTTCAATGCAACCTAGGTTTCTAGGGTGAAATCTTCTCTGGTTGCAAATAAACTTGGTCAGTATTAAGGAGAGGTAGGTTCAAAACAGCATGTTCACAGACTGCAATCCAAGTGGCTATTAAAAATAGCTGGTGGGGATAATAGCCTGACCCCTCTTGTGGAGCTAAGACGGAATAAAAGGAGGTTTCATTCTGCATCTGGCTATCCTTTTGCTGATCTGGAAGTACAATACAGCTAATTGAACAGTGATAAAATGACTTGTGGGCATTGCCTCTCTGAGCAGTAGCTTGCCAATTAATTTCTTTTCCTGACCTAAATGCAATATCTCTTTCTTTACCCCCCACCCAAATGTGTGAACTAGATGAAAATTTGTGGGTACATTTACTGCACCTTTGTATCCAAGGAAGTAGTTTGAAGCACATATCAACATGAAAATGCTAACATTTCTGTGGGGTTACATCCAGTGATAGATTAATGCACTGATGCAGATAGCCATTTTATGCTAGGTATGGTATAATTTCGAACTTTCGCAACCCAGCAATTTTCAAGCTTATTTTCCATTCTCTCGTATGATTTCCCAACACAAAAATTGTCACCCAGAGCAAAGTTTGACATAGTGCACATTTTGACTGGCCTCCAAGTAAATTAGTTTATAGTTAAACAGGATTACTGACTGAATGGCATACTCCACAGGTAGGGGTCTCACATCAGTAACTGTGGCCCAAAGTAGTTCAAAAGTACTAAGATGTTGAACTGTTTGCAAAAACTGAGGTTTTGTTTCATGTTTGCTGGTGCTGCTTGGCTAGTTTTGTACACTTTGCAGTAGTCATAGTGACTACTGAGTTTAACTGTAAACTATTAAAGAAGCTCAAAGTAAGAACTGGCACTGGTTACTTGCCTTCTTCATGGTTGTCTTCACCTCTGGTTTCATTGCATGATTTTTTTTTTATTTGAATTGGGCCAGATTTATATCTAAAAGGCAATTTCCGGTTCAGATATTTGACTGTTTCTTCATACTATCAAAATGGTCCAGATTTGAATATTTCCTTGGGAATATTGTGGCAGTTTTGAACTCCAATTGTTTTCTTCAGTCTTTGAATTAGAGGCAGACTGCTGCTGGGAGCTTTCCTTTGTGCTCATTGCTAGCTTCTGTGGCCTTGGTTCTCTCATAATTATACAATCTATATCTTGAATGGCACCAGAATGAATGACCCTGTTTCTGTAACTTTTTTGTCATGTTTAGTAACTGTGTCAAATCAAATAGCTCATGTGATGAGGCTGATGACTTGTTTGTGTCTGCTACACTGTTTGCTCATAGTTTTTCACTGAAGTTGGAAGCAGAAACATAATTGGTGAATAGAGAATGCTGGAATCTGCAAAGGGAAGAGTTAGTAGATAAGGGTTGAAATCTTGACTTTTAAGGTGGGTTTTAGTTTCCCTTGTTCACAGGACATGAATGGTGTTGGCCAGACTTCATTTATTTCCTATCCCTGAAAGAATAATGGCAGTCTTTGAGCAACTGCATCTTTGCATTGTTGGTGCTTCCATAGGTTTTCATGACAAATTCCAAATTTGTAACAAAGAAATGGCAGTACATGCTCTGACGTGACAATGATAGTGTTTCAATGATTATGCCTGTTGGTGACAGGTTGTCGAACTGGGAAGCAGGGTTAAAAGGAAACTTAGGCATTTGACGTTTGAGCTCAAAATTAAAACACGATCACAGTAATTGAATCCAAGAATGTTAGTACTACCCTTGATGTCAAGGCAGTGAGTTAGAGTGCAGCAGCCAGGGTTCAAGCAATATTAAAGTCAAATGAAACCATGTTAAGAGGTAGACCTAACATAATGGAAGATGGTTGGCGGTCAACAAGTTGAACCCCAGGAGTTCCTTAGAGTAGCATCCTAGATCTGGTGATCTTCAGTTGCTCCATCAATCATTAGATCAGTAATTGCATGAACAGTCTTCTGAAGAATTACAGATACTTGAAAACCAAGACTTGGAATGATATTGAAGTTGGGTCAATAAGTAGCAACTGTCATATACACCACCCAGTTGTCATCTCCAACGAGAGAATGAACATCAAATGGAGATCAT